GTGTCACCGAGCACCCCGTGGCACTGAGCACCCCACGTCACTGAGTGCCCCACGCTGAGCACCCCACGTCACCGAGCGCCCCAAGTCCCGGAGCACCCCATGTCACCGAGTGACCCACATCACTGAGCGCCCCGTGTCACCGAGCACCCCGCACTGTTGAGCGCCCTGCACCGCCAAGTGCCCCATGCCGAGCACCCCATGTCACTGAGCGCCCCGTGTTACCGAGTGCCCTATGTCACCAAGAACCCCGTGTCACCAAGCGTCTCGTGCCACCGAGCACCCTGTGCCACCAAGCACCGCACGTCACTGAGAGCCCCAAGTCACCGAGCGCCCCGTGCCACCAAGTGTCCCACATGACGAGCGCCCCGTGCCACCGAGCGCCCCGCGGCCCCGCCGCACCTTGAGCTCGTACTCCTCGCGCGTGTCCAGCGTGTCGCAGCGCAGGTCCTGCTTGAGCTCCACGTCGTCCTTGAAGGACTGCGGGGACAGGGGCGCCATGCGGCGGGGCCGGGTGCCGGGCGGTGCCGGGGGGCGCCCCGCGCGTCCCCGCCGTGCCCCCCGTACCGAGTAGATGGCCTTCATGACGCGCGTGGCCGTGGAGACGCTGCCCGCGTCGTCCTCGCGCTCCGCGTGCAGCGCCAGCGGCTCCCGGTTCACCGTCTCCACCTGGATGTCCAGCTTGCGCAGGGTGACGTCCTTGCGGCCTGCGCGGGCGCCGCGGCGCTCAGGGGCCCACCCGTGTCCCTGTATCCCCATGTGCCCACGTCCCCGTGTCCCTATGTCCCTGTGTTCCCACATCCCCACGTCCCTGTGTCCCCACGTCCCCAGGTCCCTGCATCCCCGCGTCCCCACATCCCTGTGTCCTCATGTTCCCGTGTCCTCGTGTTCCCACGTCCCCACATCTCCATGTCTCCGTATCCCTGTGTCCCCATGTCCCCACGTCCCCATGTCCCTGTCCCTGCATCCCCATGTCTCCACATCCCCGTGTCCCCACATCCCCATGTCCCCACGTCCCCGCATCCTCATGTTCCCATGTCCTCGTGTCCCCGTGTCCCCACGTCCCTGTGTCCCCACGTCCCCATATCCCCATGTCCCCACATCCCTGCGTCCCCACGTCCCCGYGTCCCCATGTCCCCACATCCCCACATCCSCACGTCCCCGCGTCCCTGCATCCCCACATCTCCACATCCCCACATCTCCGTGTCCCCACATCCCCGTGTCCCTGCGTCCCTATGTCTCCACATCCCTGCGTCCCCATGTCCCCACGTCCCCATATCCCCACATCCCCATGTCCCCGCGTCCCCGCCACTCACTGCCTTTGCGGCGCCGGTACAGCACGCAGGCGAGCGCCGCCAGGAAGGCCACGAGCAGCACGCTGGCGCCGATGGTGCCGCCGGCGATGATGCCCACGGGCAGCCCCTCTGCGGGCACAGCCACACGGGGGGCATCAACCAGGGCCGGGCGCCAGCGCCACGTCCCCCCGTGCCCACCCGCCGCCACCTCGCTCGTCCAGCTGGATGATGGCGGTGCCGGGCCCGAAGCTGTTCCAGGCCGTGCAGTTGTAGCGCGTCTGGAAGTCGGCGTCCATCACGTTGTTGATGGTGAGCGTGGAGAGGACGCCGGCGCCCGTGTTGCTCCGCTCCACCGTGTAGCGCTCCAGCGTGCCGGCCTCCAGGATGTTCTCCTTCCAGGCCCACGCCTGGCGCCGAGGGGAGGCCGCGTGAGCCTCCCCGGGCACCGGGCACCGGTGCGGCCGCGGCCCCGTGCACTCACGATGCGGTCCGGCGGCGGCGTGCTGCCGATGAAGCACTCCACCTTGCCGCGGTCGCCGCGCGCCGCGTACTGCACCGCCTCGCTCGAGATGATGGGCGGCCCTGCGCGGGGGGCGCCGCGGGTCAGCGGGCACGGCGCCGCGCCCAAGGGCGAGGAGGAGGAGGTTGTGGGGAGGAGGAGGCCAAGGGGAGGTTGAGGTTGTGGGGAGGAGGGGGCCGCAGAGAGCAGGAGGCCGTGGGGAGGGGGAGGCCGTGGGGAGGAGGCTGCAGGGAGGAAGAGGCTGCAGGGAGGAGGAGGCCGTGGGGAGGAGGAAACTCCAGGGAGGAAGGTGCCGTGAGGAGGAGGATGCCATAGGGAGGAGGATATTCTAGGGAGGAAGATGCTATGAGGAGGATGCCACGACGAGGAGGATGCCATGGGGAGGATGCCGTGGGGAGGAAGACATCATTGGGAGGAGGCCGCCATGGGGAGGAGGCCCCAGGGAGGAGGCCGCGGCGCGGCGCTCACCGTTGACGAAGAGGGTGACCTCGCGCTCGCCCACGCCGATGCGCGGCACGATGGCCTTGCACACGTACTGCCCCGCGTCCGCCTGCGTCACCGACTTCAGGTACAGCTGGTTGCTGTTGCTGAGCACCTGGGCGCGCGCGGCGCCGCGTCACGAGGCCGCCGCGGAGGCCGCCCCGGCGCGGGCCTCCCCCGGCCCGGCCTCCCTACCATGTTGGACTCCTTCTTGGTCCAGGTGAGCGTGAGCGGCGGGTTGCCCGCCCAGGCGCACGTCAGCGTCACGTCGGAGCCCACGTCCGTCGTCGTGGGCTTGGGGTCCACCACGATGCGCGGGGCGACTGCGCGGCGAGCGGGCGCTGAGCCGGGGCGCGGCACCCCGGGCACCCTTGGGCGCCCCCCACCCGCAGCCCGGCGCTCACAGTGCACGTCCACCAGCGTGCTGACGTTGGTGCTGCCCACGGCGTTGTGCACCTCGCACGACACGGGCTCCGTGAAGAACGAGTAGTCCACCTGCGTCTCATAGCGGTTCTCCTTGGCCTCCTCGATCACCACGCCGCCCTTGGCCCACCTTGGCGGGGGGGGGACACGTGCGGGGGGCTCTTAGGGATGTGGGGAAGGGGTGTTTTGGGGGGGGGGCACCCCGGTTGCGCCGCCCCTCACCGGTAGCCCTTGATCTCGGGGTTGGCGGTGGCGGCGCACGTGAACACCACGCGCTCGCCCTCCTGCACCGTCTGCGGCTGGATGGAGAGCGTCACCGTGGGCGGGTCTGCGCGGAGAGGGGGGACACGGAGCTGCAGGGCCACCCACCGCCGGGGGGGGGGGGACACCCCCTGCCCATCCCGCGCGGTCCCCCCCGCCGCCGCCTTCCCGCGGCGGCCGCTGGAGGTCGGTGTCGGCCGGCGCGCGGTGCTCACGGTGCACGTTGAGCCGCACGGAGGCCTCCTTGCCGGCGGGCACGGCGGCGTTGGCGCTGCGGCACGAGAACACGCGCCCGCCGTCCAGCTCCGTGGGGTTGATGCCCAGGCGGCTCGTGGTGCTCTCCCGCTTGCCGTCGGGCAGCAGCTCCTGCGGCGACGCACGGCACGCCGCGTCGGCGCCGGCGGCACCGGCGAGCCCGCCGGCGCCCGGGGCCGCGGGCACCCTACCGTGCTGGCCACGGCGCCGTCCTGCTGCAGCCCGTCGCGGTACCACACGATGGTGGCGGCCGGCTTGGCGCTGCGCGCCCGGCACGTCAGGTTGTAGGGCGTCCCCGCGCGCAGCAGGATCTCGGGCGCCCCGTCGATGGTGGGGTCCTCGGGGGGGACTGCGGGGACACGGTGCCACCAGCGCCCCCCCAACATTCCCGCCCATCCCGCTTTGCCAGGGCCATTCCCCACCTCCCACCCGCTTCCCAAGGGCACCCGCAGCGCCGGGGGAATGAGGGCGATGCGGGAAGCAGGGTGGGAATAAAGGAAAGCCGCCCCCGCAACCCCATTCCCACAACATTCCCACCGCGCCTCCCTATTCCCCCCGTTTTACAAGGCACAAAAGTCCCGACGTGCCGCACTTGGGGGCCCTGGGAAGGCTGGGAATGCCGGGAACGCCGCCGGGAACGCCGCCGCTTACTGAGCACGGTGAGCTTGGCGCGGCGCGAGCGCAGCGCCGCCTCCGTGGCCTGGCACTCGTAGGCGGCGTCATCGGAGAGCTCGGCGCCGCTGATCTCCAGGTTGTGCTGGCCCCAGGCCGCCGTGCCCACCACGCGGTAGCGGGGCCACGCTGCGGGGCACGGGGGGGACCCATGAGGCCGGTGCCCACCGGGGCTCTCCGTGCCCCGGCTGTGGCTTCGGGAGCGGCCCCGGGATGGGGAGGCGGGAATGGGGAGCGGGAGCCGGGGCGGGCAGCCTTGGCCCTGAGGGACGTGGGGGCCTGCGGCACGGGGGGTCCGCAGCATCTCGGTGCCCACTGCATCCCGGCGCCCAGTGCATCCCAGTGCCTGCAGTGCCCGCTGCATCCCAGTGCACGCAGCATCCCAGTGCCTGCAGTGCCCGCTGCATCCCAGTGCACGCAGCATCCCAGTGCCTGCAGTGCCCGCTGCATCCCAGTGCCCGCAGTGCCTGCTGCATCCCAGCGACCGCAGCATCCCAGTGCCCGCAGTATCCCGGTGCCCACTGCATCCCAGTGCCCACAGTATCCCAGTGCCCACTGCATCCCGATGCTTGCAGTATCCCAATGCCCACTGCATCTCAGTGCCTCCAGTGCCCACTGCATCCCAGCGACCGCAGCATCCCAGTGCCCACTGCATCACAGTGCCCGCTGCATCCCAGTGCCCACTGCATCCCGGTGCCCCCAGCATCCCGGTACCAACTGTATCCCAATGCCCACTGCATCCCGGCATCCGCTGCATCCCAATGCCCATTGCATCCCAGTRCCCGCTGCATCCCGGTGCCCRCTGCATCCCRGTGCCCACTACACCCCAGCACCCCCTGCACCCCGGCGCAGCCGGGAGCACCGGGGCGACCCCGGGCCCCGTCACCGTGGGGGTGACCCCGGGCCCCCCCTCGGGTCCCCCCCTTACCTTTGAGGCCCTGCCCCATGCCCAGCGCCAGCCCGTCCTTGGTCCATTGCACGATGCCCGAGTAGTTGAGCACCACGCAGGAGAGCACGATCCTCTGGCCGGCCACCACCGTCTGGTCCTCGGGCTCCTCGGCGAAGCGGGGCTGGCCGGCTGCGGAGCGGGACGAGCCGGGATGAGCCCGGATAGGGCCGGGATGGAGCCGCCCGCTCCCGCCGCCCCGTCATTCCGCCCGCCATCGATCCCCGTCACGCGGAGCGCCATCGATCCCGGCGGGGGGACCCGGGGATGGGCCACGTGCGCCCGGACGCCTGGGCCCTTTGCAGGCACTGGGCTGCTCCCGCTCCAAACATTTCCCAAAGAAATTCCCGCGGCGGCGGAGATGCCTCCCGGGAGGAGCAGCCCGCGGCTCCGAAGCCGCCGCGTCCCCTTGGTGTCCCCAGGTCCCTGCGGAGCCTCCGCTCGGAGCCCGCGGCCGCCTTTGATCCCACCAGCCAAGCCCTGGCTTTTCCCGGGAGCGCCCGCTCCGGCATCCCGCAGCATCCCGACGTCCCCCGTTACGGAGCACCGACCCGCCGCGTGGCAACACAGGGATGGGGACACAGACCCACAGGGTGCCGGGATGCTCCCAGGGAGCCCCGGGATGGGGGTCCCGGGAGCCCCGGGCAGCGGGAGCCGGGGGCGGCCGGGCCGCTTTGATCCCGGGGAAGGAGCGGGAGATAAAGGCGAGGAGGGAAGGAGGCGGCGCCGGAGCCGACATCAAAGGGAAGGTGCTGCCGGCGACGGCGGGGACGGCGACAGCATCCGTAACCCCCCCAATTCCCGGCACCATCCCGAATGCATTCAGGATCCTGATTCGGGAATCATCCCGAATCCCCCAGCTCCGGAGAGCGCCTGGAGCCGGCAGCCACCCCATCCCACCCCATCCCACCCATCCAATCCAATCCAATCCCACCCCATCCCTGCATCCCAGCCTGGGCGCCTGTGCCCGCAGCCGCTCCGAGCAGCGGCTCCCGCCCGGAGCCGCGTTCCCGGCCCTGTCTCCCGCTATTTATCCAGCGCCGGCCTGATTAAGCCCCAGGGCTGCTGCTCCAACCTCCCTCTCTCTCCTCCCGCTATTAAACTCTGGGATCAAAGGAAAGCTTTTTATTCGCCCTGACAGCTTTCAGATGGAGCTAAATCTCCTCGCGCCAGACTTTTATATATATATATATATATTATTTTATCTCCTTCCTCTTCCTCTTGCGGCGCTCTTCAATTTAAGCCTTTCCCCCTTCCGCTTCCCTCGCTCGCTTCTATTTATACTGGGAAAAACGGGGGGGAAAGAAGCGGGAAGCGCTGGGTTTGCTCGGAGCGAAGTGGATTGGGCTCTGCGCGGGGAAACTGAGGCACGGGGACGGCCAGGATGCGCCGGGCTCCGCTCTTGCGAGCTCAAGCCAAGGCTCTCCCTATCCTGGAGCTGCTGCTGCTCCGGGATGCTGCGGGATTCCGGGCCAATCCTGGGATTCCCATGGGAATCTGGGCCTGGATGGGGGCGCTGAGCTCCCCCTGTTCCCACGGGCTCCCCATCCCGGTGCCGCCTTTGGGAATGCTGCCGGCTGGGAACACTCCTTCCGGGAACGCCAGGATACCCAGCGCTCGGGAAGCCAGCGGGAGCCAAGCTCTCCGGGGACAGGATGCTCCCATTCCTTCCCTTTTTTTCCTTAAAAAGGCAAAATTATCAAAACAAATGAGGAGGAGATTGGCGGGGCCTTTGCTGCCCTCCTCCTCCTCCTCATCTTCCTCCTCTTCCTCCCTGGAAGAGCAGCCCCCCAATTGCTTCTGACCCCCCGTCTCCCATTAAATTGAGCGGCTCCATTCCCGGTCGCTGCAATATTCTGGCCGCCGCTGGGCCCTTCCCTGTGGAAAAGAGGGATCCGTGGGGAGAAGGGAAGCCGGGAATTTTCCAGACGACGCTCCGGGCCACTGATGAGGAGGAGGAGGAAGAGCAGGGAGGGGGACAAGGCCAATTAGGTGCAAACCCGCGGCCCGAGGAACCAGCAAAGCAAATTCCAATTAAAAGCCGCTTGGGAAGCAGCGGGAGCAGCGGGGGAGCCGGACTCCGTCTCTCCTTCCTCAACATCCCTTGCTATTCCCTGTCTAATAACACGGAGACCCGCCAACCTCCTGAGGTCGGAGCCTTCGCTCCAGGATCCGGCCCCGGGAGCTGCCGCCCGAGGCTTCCCAGCTTGGGAATCCCAGCGGGATCCCTAGGGAAAAAGTCCCCCCCTGTTTAGGACGGAGTCTTTGTCTCCTTCCCGCCTGCCCAAGTTTGTGGCCGGCTCTGCCGTTAATCCCGTCAAAAGGAGCAGCCAGGCAGAAGGATAAAGCGCCCGGATGGGCCGGAGCGGCTCGGGAAGGGCCGGAGAGCGCGGATTTGTGTGCGCGTTCCGGCTGCGCGCGCTCCAGCTGTGTGTGCATGCATGGGGATGTGTGTGCACAAACAGGAATGTGTGTGCACGTGTGTGCACGCATGGGAACGTGCATGCATGGGAATGCGTGTGCATGCATGGGAATGTGCGTGCCCACACGCGTGCAAAGCCAGGCCGGGCGTGCAGGCGCACAGGGCGCTGCAGCCGGGATCCCTCCAAGCCACCCGCTCCCACATCCCACAGGGCTCATCCCTACGGACACCTCTGCCTGCGCGGGAAGCACAAGCGGCACCGCCGGCCCGGAGCAGCCGGAGGCTCCTGCTGCCGGCACCGGCATTCCCTGCGGGAAGAGCCCCCGGAGCGGGAAGGGGCCCCTGCGGCGGCGCCTCCACCCTCCTCATCCCCCCTTCGTTTCGGGGGCTGCCATTGGCCGCCCCTAATTAATTTGTGCATCAGCCCCGTTAGGAACAATGTCTAATTAAGACTTTTGTCTGTGTGCGCGGGGACGGGGAGAGGGGAGGGGGCCGTTCCGCCTTGGGGAAAAAGAGGGAAGCAGAAAAAAAGCTCCGGCGCCCGCTGCCTTAATGAGCGGATTCCTAATAACGAGCGGCCGCCCGGATCCATCCCGGCGGAGCGGGACGGGGGCAGCTTGGGCTCCATTCCCACCATAATTCCAGCGAATTCCTCCCTGTCACATCGGGCCGAGGTGGCACGGCAATGGGGACCCCCCCGCGGGCGCTTCCCGCGCTGTGTCCCCCCATATCCCGGCCGGCATCGCTGCGCTGAGTTGTGCCCAGCCTCTGCATGGCGCCAAGCGGTGCTTGCAGCCGGGGATGCTCCCGGTGCGGGGGGACGGTGCCGCATCCCGTGCTCCCGCATTCCCGCGTCCCGCATCCCGTGTCCCCCCGGTGCTGCCGGCGCGCGCGGCCCTGGCGCCCGCTCCGGCGCGCGCTCTGCGGTCGCGGCCCGCGATGATCCTACGCGCCTGGAATTTGAGGAATTTCCTGCCAAGGCTCTCTGGAAGATGAGGGAGCGCGAAGGGAGCCGGCGCTTAACCCTCGCGGCGCCGGCGGAATGCCGGAGCCGGGAATCGCTCCGTGTGGAGATGCCGTGTCCCAGTGCGCGGGGGGCAGGGAGCGGGGCCCGGCGCTCCGGGGCGGCTCCGTAGGAATCGCCCGGCGCGGGAGACGCTGCCGGAGGCCGGACCGGCTGCTCCCGGCACCCGGGCGAGGGAAGCACGTGCACAACCCGCTCCTCGCACACCCGCTCCCATTGCACACCCGCTCCCCTCGCACACCTATTCCCATTGCACATCTGCTCCTTGCACAACCTGCACCTATTGCACACCCGCTCCCATTGCACACCCGCTCCCCTTGCACACCCACTTCCCGCACACCGATTCCCATTGCACACCCGCTCCATTGCACACCCTCTCCATTGCACACCTATTCCCATTGCACACCCACTCCCCTTGCACACCTGCACCCATTGCAACCTGCTCCCTTCACAGCCGTTCTCATTGCACACCCGCTCCCCTTGCACACCCGCTCCCCACACACTTGCACCCATTGCACATCTGCTCCCATTGCACACCCATTCCCCTCGCACACCCACTCGCCTTGCATACCTGCACCCATTGCACACCCACTCCCTTCACACACCGCTCCCCTTGCACACCTGCACCCATTGCAACCTGCTCCCTTCACACCCGCTCCTTGCACACCTGCACCCATTGCACACCCGCTCCTTGCACACCCAGTCCTTGCACACCCGCTCGCCTTGCACACCTGCACCCATTGCACACCCACTCCCATTGCACACCTGCTCCCATTGCACACCCGCTCCTTGCACACCTATTCCCATTGCACACCCGCTCCTTGCACACCCAGTCCTTGCACACCCGCTCCCATTGCACACCCCCTCCCCTCGTACACCCGCTCCCATTGCACACCCGCTCCCATTGCACACCCGCTCCCCGCACACCCGGCGCCGGCTCCTTCCCCGCCGTTCCCATGGCAACGCCGCAAGGCGCACAACCGCTCTCCGCCTGGATGGAAAAGTTGGTGCCTCCCTCCTTGCTCCCCTCCTTGCGCCTTTTCCCCCTCCGCGCATTCCCATTCCCGGGCGGATCCGAAGGCACCCGTCACCATGGCAGCGCCGGCACCCGCTCCGGCCCCGCAACAGCCGCTCCGCTGGCCTTTTTTCCGAAGGATTTCACCCCAAAACGGGTCCTGGCGCTCCCCCATCCCATTAACTCTTCCCTGTGTCCGGCACCGCTCCGGAGCTCTTGCAACGGGAACGGGGCCGGACGGCGGGAACGATCCGGAGCGGAGCCACCGGCCCCCGGGGACCTCAATTATCAGCTAAGCGCGAGCGCTGCAGTGATTAATTAAGAGATAATAAAAAGCAAAGGAGGCCGCTTGGATGCCCGGCCGGAGGTAGGGCGAGGAATTAGGGCGGCTCTATGGAAAAGGCCGCTGTTATCCCGGCTCCGGGAGGCTCCGGGATGCACGGAGCCCTCCCGACGGACAGAGGCTGCTGCCAGGACGCCTGGGCCCCTGCTCGTCCTGTGGCCGGCGGCGGCTGCCGGAGCCGGGAAGGGGCAGCATTCCCGGCCGCGGGAATGGCGCTGCCGGGCTCGGTGCCGGCTGGGAAGCGGGGAGACATCTCGGTGGCTTCTCCGGCACGCATTTCCCTGTGGGATGCAGGCCCCGGCAACCCCTGCACGGTCTCCTCTTCCCGGGATGCTCCGGGAACGCTCCAGCTGGCAGCATCTCCCGGCAAAGCCCCTTACCCCA